AGGATGCCTTGATGCCTTTAGGATGTTCCCAGACAAGGGGAAAAGGGCTAACTACATATTAAACCACCCCTATCTTGACCTTATGGTGACTGACCAATATAGCAGTAACAACAGACCTAACAGAATATGGATCTCTGACTCTTCTTCTGTGAGTGGAATAAATGCACTTGTTTCCCTGAGGATTAGCAAGCTGTGACGAGGGAAAAGCTGTACCTGACGGTCAGCTCACTTAGATCTGGCTCAGTCCAGGAAGCCAGTGGGGCTCAGAGGGACAGAGCAGCAGATAATGAACCACTCATCTCTGCCTGTCAGAACCCTCATGACTGACATTATCACCGGGGACCTGACTGCCCTTTTCCTTTCTGCACATTAACCAGATTAAATCCAATTCTCCAGAGCTCTGAATGCATTTTGAACTGGGATTCTGATTTTTGGTCTATTTACCTCAATTGTAAAGGTCCTTAAAGAAAGTAATTTTCCAGATTCTACTCTGTGACTAGCCACAGGAAACTCAGTAAAATTACATTGGATAAATGGACAGTGCTACATGAAATTAATAACTCTCAGCAGCCTGCAGAGAAATGTGAAGAGGATATTAACAACTGGAATTGTTTGAGAATAGCAAAATAAAAGCTTCTAATAATAGAAAAAATACATAAAAACCCACAGACTAAAGGCTCCTGCTTTCATTTGGCCCCAGACACAAAGACATATTTTTCCCTTTATCTTCAAATGGATGTACAGGATTAGACTATAATGGCTAGCTGCTTCTATTCATTCTTGATTTGGGGCTTACTATTACAGGCTGCTCAGCAGTTGGGTGGGATGCTGATTGCCCTCAAGTCCCATTGCAAATGAGGATTTTGGGGCAGGGATGTAATTACTTCTCAGATATCTATGTCCTCACTTACTTGCCCACTCATTACATTATTTGTAGCAGACAAGTCTCTCTGCTACTGTTGCATCAGTTTCAAAATCTGTTTTTCAGTTTTGCAAGTGTGTTGACACAGAAATACATCCTCCTCCCTCATTTTATTTTAGAAAGATGTTAATACTGTGGACAAGCACAGACTCCCAGTCCTGCAGACAAAAATACAATAGGAGTAAGCTGCGTGGGTTTCCCCACTCAGTTCTCCTGTCTAATGTGCCATTGCACCCACCTGCATAATTGTACAGCCATTAGTCTCTTTGCTGTGGTGACTGCACAGCTGCTCTGTTGAGCTGCTGGCTGCTTTGAGAAACAAAGTTCTTTGGAGAGAGTTTGATTATTTGGTATACTGCCATAGATCCCTAGAGGCCTTGGCTAGAAGATACTCATTAGTGCACCCCACCTTGTCTTCCTGCTTCCCATGTCTCATTAGTAACCCTGCAGAGCACATACTTCTTGCGTCTGTATGATGAAATTTCACAACAGAGCAAGAGGCCTAACACCGCATATAGAAAGTGGTTTGCTTCATCTACTACAGAACAAACTCCAACCAGGATTTTGTAACTGTTACCTGTGCTAGACATTTTTATTTAAAGCACAGATCTTCTACAAGTAGAATCCTTCTCTCAGGCTGATACACAAAGTGCTCAGTAAAGCACAGAGCCCTTTCCTTTTACAGAAGGGCTTCAGAAAACCCTTCTGGGGAATGCATTTGGGATTCCTCATCACCCCTCAGCAAGTGACAGCAGTTAGCCATATGCCTGGCTCCAAGGACAGGAGAAGCTACAGTGCTCCAAGTCAAGCTGTGTTGACAGTTCAGGGTTTAACATATACCTACAGAATGAAGAGGTAACATACTTCACAGGACCATACATCCACCATTCATCCACTTCTCCACTCCTCTCTGTGGCTTTTCTAAACTTAATGTTGTATAAGCCACCTTTTTCAATGGTTCGATTTAAACCTTCCCTAAACTCCCAGAAGACAGGAGTGGTTGCAGTGGGTGAAGCCAGAACATAACATCCAGAAACATGGTGTACATATTGTCACTACTGAAGCAGATCAGAGCTTGAACCAGTCTGACTAATGAGATTTAGGAATCTTTAATACACTTCAATGATATTCCATATAGGCTCTCACATGCAGTATCCTTGTACCTGCATCCTAAAACTATTTATTTCCCCAGCAGAGGAGCTGCACAGTTAGTGTGCAGTTTAGCTATGAGACAGGAAATGCCTGCACTTGCTGCTTCCACCCAGCTTGCCATGTCACCCTGTCAAGCCAATTACTTTAATTAAAGTTCTGCCTGGCCCTTCTTGACAACTCAGTCTCTAATGATGAAAATATGTATGATGATGATCTGGATTCAGGAGGCGAAACTCATTGTTTTCTAACACTCCTGCTATTACTATCAATTTCACATGAAAGTAGGGCATTTTCTTTGGGAAAAACAATACAAAAGTGTCACTCAGTTTCATTAGCAGAGTGGTTGTTCTTTGCTCTTCCCACTCTGATGTTTTTCTTCATGGTTGAAGAGTTTAGTTCAGTGCTCTGGGAAAGAGATGCAAACATTGCTAATTGCATTAAGATTAATATTCCAGGAAATTTAAACAAAGCACTCCACTGGAAAATTCATTAAGCAGCAGAATAATCCCACTGGGCAAGTACCATAGTGTCAAACTGGTTTTAATCATGGTAGAAATGTTTTGCTCTTTATGCAAAAGCAATGCTTAAGGCCTAAGTAGAGAGCCTACAAAAACACTGAAGGAAGTTGATGAGTAATTGATACAATTACAAAGGCAACAGAATATCAGAAAATGGTTGGGGACAGGACAGTACATTAAGCAATATTTCCATGGGTCCTACATGTTTGTACACTAGACCTTGTCCTACTTGATTCTGCATTGGGAACTTCTCTGCAGCTTTCCAGCCTCATTTAACAGCTTTCTTTCTGCTCAGCAAGAATAAGGAGGGATGTAAAAACAGGCAAAGTACACTATTTATGCAGTTCCCCTGTTTTTCACTGTCCTCTGCCTATGAAGGAATCAATAGCTATTTTAGCACTGTGGAAAACATAATTTTTCTGTAATTCTTAAAACTAAAGCTATTTTGTTAGACAGAATTTGCTTTATTTCCCTCTGATGTTCCAGAACTGGGCTTCTCAAACTTTATCCCAGCACAGGTTTTGTCTGTCCTCAACCATCTTCACAAAATCCTGCCTCCCAAAGAGGGAAATAACAACATGCAGAGAAGCTTGTCATTGTTTATCTTAGCCTCAAAATAACTTAGTTTCTTTTCTCCCCACTGCTATCTCTGTTTGCAACTACACAGTGACTACTGAGTGGTTATAAATACTGATTTGGGGCATGCTGCTTTGATTCAAGTAACTGTCCACCAGCCCTGCAGGAAAACGGGTTTAAAGAGAAAAGAAGAAAATCCAAACCTCTCTATACATTCAGCAGCTCTTAGTCCAGCCTCAAGCTCAGTGGCAGGCTAGTGTCAAAAATAGTCTCTGTGCCTGAAGACAAGGCATTCTGGAATCTGGGTAGTAGCTATATGAGACAGAAAACCTAGACAGTACATGCAGACACAGAAGAAGAATTTGTCTGCTACTCTCAAAGTGACATTTTATATATTTATGTTTAATTTTTAAGGGGGAAGAGGGAGATTTTCAATAGAGCTGATTTTGTTTCTTTTCCTCAAGATTTTATATTTCTCAAGCAAATAAGGCTACAGTTTGTTTTGAAAAGATACAGCTCTTGAAAAGGAACTGCCTATAGGAACAATGCAACAAAAATGTTTTCTCTCAATAGAACAAATCCAAATAATCAGTCGTTACCTACAGCAGGCTACATAAAATTCATTTCCATTATCCTCATCAGAACCCAGAGATACATTAATACTGAAATATAAGCACTTGCATATCTGTCACTTATAACCTCTTTTGTGTTGTTTCTACCCCATGACACACCTGATTGATGTATTCATTCCCTTGTGAGTGCATTAAGTGTCCAATCTTTCTTTCAATTTTATCTTACTCATAACCATCAGCCTTCCCAATTTTCCCACATTCTTTCAATACATTATGAAAGTACAGAGTTGCTGTAAGAAACCTGGATTACACTGAAATGAGATGAAAAGCATGGCATTAAGCTTTTGTTTCCTGGAAGGGACAGATACACAAACCATAGCAATTCAGTACCCCTAGACAGAAATGGGAGCTTGTGCTGCTGCTCTGTTTATCATTTCCTCCTCTGGAATAGGGAGGGTCTGCAGAGCAGCAATAGCTGTGCCTTCTCTCAAACAGACAGGTTCAGCATAATTTCATCAATTATCAGCTCTAGTAACTGGTACTGGAAGGCAAGTCCTAGGTAGCTGGCTCTGCCTGTCAGAGCTCTAAGACACATGATTTTCAACACAGCCTAGGAGCATATGCACATGCTGAAGACCCACACGTGATGAACCGGGACTTCATCAGAACCAAGCCAATGCCAACCATTTAATCCATCTAGAAAACTAAGATGTCCAGAAAACATGACATGGAACAATTCCATACAACATTATACCACAGTAAAAAAATGCACAAAGAAAGAGCTGACAAACAGTAGAAGAGCTGCTAGAAAAATCTACAGTAGAAAATAAGCACTTTCTAAATAAATATTGCCTTCTCTGTATTTACTATACCCAAGTTGATCTCCCTTTTATTACATTTCTATACAAAACTGATATTGGCTCTTCAATTAAAGCTCTCACTTCCATACAACTTTAATCCAAACTTTCTGCCATCCAGATTTAACATGATTAACTTGCATTCCATTTCCATAACCGTGGCAGCACCTAATCAACAAAGTCCCTACCTATATGTATTTATATTGATATACATGTATATATACACACATACATACATACACACGACAAATACTGTTGAAGTTTTCCTCTCTTCCAGTGTTTATAGTGACAGTCATCCTAGAAGGTGAAGGCATACACCACTCCCACAACCACAATATTTCCAATTGTTGCTATTATTGCAATCCATAACAATATGGCATCATTTGAAGAACGGGATGTCTCTTCTGGTGGATTCTGCATGGACGAAGCTGCATGGACGTTGGCTGATGAGTTAAACAAGGAGTACTCTGTACTAAAGTCCTCGTTGGGTGAGTCCATAAAGGCTCCTCCCATAACTGGAAGCTGTGAAGAAAGATAGGGCAAAATCAGACTGTGGGCTAAAAACTGCTTTTGCATTGTCTCAAAGTAATAACAAAAAACTAACCATTAGCTAAACTGCAAAATCACTGAGATTTCATGTACGTGGTGCTTACCTGTCAGGAATACCACAGACAAACACACACCGTACAGTATCTCTCCCATTTCTGTCAGAATCAATATTATTGCAGAAAACCTACGTATATTACATGCAATATATATAAGAGCTAGCATCCAGGCTTCAATTCAAACTAAGTAATCATATGCATTTTGAAAGAAGTACATCTATATGCAAAGTACTCACATACTGGAATCTAAGTTTATAACGATATGATTGTGACTACCAGCAATGGTATCATAACACTGCAAGACATTGTGTAAGCACAGCGAGGATCTGATACAGAGAATTCGTTCTCCTTTTATGTATTAGTCAGAAGCAAACCCTTGGTTTATGTGGAGATCATGCAAAAGGTTCTTACTGTAAAACAGGTGGAGTGTACTCAGTGCACTAACTTCACCTGCAGAACACATCACTGCAACAATCCAGGATTTATAAATCTATACAATGGAAAACTTCAAATTGGATTTTGAAAGGCTCTATCACAAAGAAGTAAGTGACAGATTTCTAGCAATTATCCCACCCCAGACTTCTACTGGGAAGGACAAAATTTCTTTGGTGCTCTTAGTGGTTTCTCAGCAGTACTAGAAAATGTTCTCGGTAAGACAGCTGTTATTCAATACAATATGGAAAAGCTAAAGGAAGAAGGAATTGTTTAACCTTGTCCTTACACCTTCTAATTGTCTTCCCAACTTCATCCTAGATCAGGACACATATTCCTCCTGATTCAAAAACTATTTTACTTCTTCTACATAGTGCTGTAAAATTACATCCATCTGCAAATGATGAAGGGCCTTGAGGGGAAGCTGTATGAGGAGCAGCTGAAGGCACTTGATCTGTTCAGCCTGGAGAAGAGGAGGCTGAGGGAAGACCTCATTGTAGTCCACAACTTCTTCGTGAGGGGAAGAGGAGGGGCAAGCACTCATCTCTTCTCTGTGCTGACCAGTGACAGGACCCAAGGGAATGGGCTGAAGTTGTGTTAGCAGAGGTTTAGGTAGGATATTAGAAAAAGGTTCTTCACCCAGAGGGTGGTTGGGCACTGGAACAGGCTCCCCAGGGAAGTGGTCACAGCACCAAGTCTGACAGAGATTTTGGATGATACCCTCAGGCACATGGTGTGACTCTTGGGGAAGGTCCTCTGCAGGGTTAAGGGTTGGACTCGATGGTCCTTGTGGGTCCCTTCCAATTCAGCATACTCTGTGATCCTGTGAAATGAATGGATCCCTCATTCAGGCAAGGGAAGGATAACTACTGCAGAACTAAGACCATATACAACTACAAAAGATTCACACAAAAGCTTTTTCTTTTATTCTTGTCCCTTGTATGTTTGGGAATGCAGAGCTGGAAGAGTCTCCCCTGGCTCACTGAGTGCAGGTTCCACAGTCTCATGTAAGTATAGGACATTGTTTCAGAAAAAGCTGCAGAACATGTACTTCACATATCTGTAAATGCTGAGGACACGCACTTCTGAGTATCCTGTTAAAAGCCGAAGATCTGCTTAGCAACCACAGGAATTGCAACTGTTATGTACTGTAGTAAGAGCATAAGCAGTGTGGGTATGCTATAGCCTCAAGTCTCTTCTGTACTGCATAACTAAACTCCTGGAGGATTGTAGTAGGTAGGTAGGCCAAAGCCATGGCTTTACTGGGTTAAAAAAACCAAACAGAGCTGTATGTATAAATCTCTCTGCCAGCTTGACCAGAAGGAAAAAATTCCATCATACTGACAAGTGGTTTGATATTGAGCAATGAGTAAAAACTACATATCAGTGCATCCTACCTACATTCTCCTTCCTTTCAGATTTGGTAGGAGTCCAGGGCTTCAGGGAAAGCTGAAAAAAAAGTCTGAGAATTTTGTCCTTAAAAAACACCCTCACTGCAACACCAACCAACCTTTCCTTCCTCACAATGGTTTCCACACTGCTGCTGCCACCTTCCAACCTTTAGACACAATTACAATTTCCTGTTTTACACCCTATTTGTTAGTGCTGTTGGGGTTTGGTATTATTCTTCACCTTTCTCAACAGGGTTCTCTTCTACTACAACTTCAACACTACTGCTGAAGTCACCACGGCCTAGGAGTAACAGAGGAACAAGCTTTGCCTTCCTTCAGCCACATCACAGAAGGCTGCTATATCCTCATCCCTAAACTGTTGTGCTCAGTACTCACTGGGGTGAAAAATCAATCTCTTTTAAAACCCTGTCCTTCAGCTTCTGCATCACATTTTGACTCCCCCAGTAACCTCTCCCTTTGGAACCAAACTACATTCCTTCTGGCTGTGTGCAGCTATGCTATGGAAGCTACTGAGCAGGACAGGATGTGATGACAAACCATCTTTCCACAGTGTTGGCTGTAATCTACAGATTACAGTAAAAAAATTGAGAATTTTGAGAATGAAGTAATTTTTTTTCTTTGCCATGCACAACATTTTACAGAGATATAAAAGACAGGCTCTTTTTCAAAGCTGACTACTGAACAAATTTCATCTGTACTAGAAAATATCATGTCACATTTAAAATTAAACAGAGAATGATGAAACAGTGGATATGTCATAGTACCTAATCCACATTAAATAAAATTATCTTTGATATCAAATATGATTAGACAAAAGCAGTTCACAAGAATTCAAGCAGGAAATTGCAAAAGTAGTTTGATATGTTCTCCCTGCATCAAAGATTTTGTCCTGTCAGTTTTGACACAGTGTCCTTTAAAGAGAACAAGACCTTCCATTTCGAAAGCCCAGCTTGATGTTTTGAATGCAATTCCACCAGCCTTTTTTATGTTGGGATTTGATAAGGAAAACATTTCAGTTTAATCGAAATTTCTTTTTACGTAGAGATTGCCAAAAAAGGCAATTCTTACTTCAAACAGAAGTGTATTTATGCAGCGATGATGCTACTTAACAGCTATGGAGACTCTGAGGATCTTTGCAGCAAATGATGGCCATACATTTACTATACTGGCAGCAAAATGCTCAATCAGATGTACTTGCCTCCTTAGCAAACCATTTTAAGGGTATTAGCATTTAGGATGGTCAAGTCTGCAAAATCTTTCAACTGGAACAATCATCCAAAATACAAAGGTACACACATATCTGCATGTGCCCAAGACAGTGGGAGGTCATGAACACTGTTCTGGTGAGTGATATCCGTTTTTGGGGCCACACATTCTGTGCTCTCAATGAGTAACTTGAAATGACAAGCTTCCACCCTGTTAGTCCAGCTGGTGCTGTCACAAAGGCAGGAAGCATCCGTGTAGCAGCACAGCTACACAGCACACTGTAATTTATGTAGAATATGAATCTCCTTGTACTGTCTAAGGCTCAAACAAGCTGTCTGCACCATCTGAGGGGAACACATGGTGAAACAGCTCATCTGAATCTCCAAAAACCTTGAGGTGACCTGATAAAAAGCATTGACATTCAGCACATGGCACAGGCTCTTTCTGTAAAACTGACTTCCAGTTTTTTTGTTTGTAGGTCAGTAGCACTTCACCAAAGATCTGGAAATAAACCTTACTGCCAATTTCCCATTTGGACAAATCATCTCTTACTAAAATGTGGATTCTCACCGCTAAAATGGCCTCATATAAGAGCACAGGAATGGCCATATGGCGTCAGACAGAAAGTCCGTCTCCCTCGTGTGTTAGCTCGAACAGTGGCCATAAATAGATGCTTAGGAAAGAGAACAGCACAACAGGACATCCATGCCTGATATTTCCCCTTAAGAACTTACAGCCTCTGACTGTTTTCAGCTTAGGAGGTTCATAAGCCAGATACTACTGCTATGCAAAGAATTGCAAAGAATTGCAAAGAATTTTGCTACCATGAACTTGTCCAGCCTCCACCTGAGCTCATCTGAAGCTGAGCATCCTTCTCAGTCTGGCCTCTTAGTGCCACTTAACAGTCAGGGTTACCCAGTGATTAGAGCCATGAAATCATCCTTGGGAGATATGCCATCTCTCCACGGGAGAGAGAGAAGCATGGATGATTAGTATCAACTGCAATCTATCATTTTGGTAGATTAACTTCAGTGAGATGAATCTCATCCTCAGTCTTGATGTCTCTGTTCTCCCAAAACGTACAGCATCTTCCTTCTGCAGTCTTATTTGAGATATTACATTAAAGACTGTGAGACCTTCACACCCAACACTAATGGGAGTTGCAAAGTGCCTGTGATTAACAGCAGGCTAAGTTCAGACAGCCTGCAACGCACTCCCTGATTGCTCTATTTTTCTGCCCATGCCTCTGCAAAGCAAATATATGTCAATTTGCATAATCCCTAACTTTCACCCATGTCACTGCCATTACAGTGACCTGCAGTCTGTTTTAGCCTCAGAGGGTATTTATAGTTCAGGCAAGACTGTGCAGAGCCTCTCCCACCCTCTCCAAGAGCACTGGGCAAGGAGGCCAGGGCAAAGGGTTAACTGGGAAACGTGACAGTGAGGGATATGACAGGAGCAGATGGTGAGGGGGAATGCTGAAGCACACTGTTTGAAAATTAAACTCTTTTCCTAGTGACTATGTCAACATTGTTAAGTAGCACTAATAGTACATCGCTTGCTAAATGGCTTCTAGGACTGGCAAAGAAAGAATTGATATCATTAAATAGCAACAGGCAGAAAACCAAACAGCAAAATGTCAAGTGGTAATGAGAACACCCACTGCGCTGAATACCTCCTACTGACATGCCTTCGGGTCACAAGGAGAACAAGGCTCTTGAACAGTTACATGATACTCTTTGCATTTAGCAGAAAAATCCTATCTTATAACCAAAAGGATTCGTAAGAGGAACAAACAACACATCAGGTACGAGTCACTGATACTGTAAAAATCTTTTTAATGCTTTCTTAAGTAGCATCACATAAAATCCATCACTTAGCAATAACATTGCTCCATTTCTTTAAGAATCAGGTGTCAGTCATTTCTTCATAGTCAGCTAGGGAAGTGTAACACTGAGCTGCTGCTACCTTATTGGGAACCCAGGCTCAGCATAGGTGTTTGAAAGTGTAGCTGAATCTTCTACTAGTCATCTTCCAGAAACTAAGAAACCTCAGCAGCAGCTTTAACAGCTGTGCTGTATCTCTGCCCTGGCCTCACCAACACCACTCAAGGAATGGGATGCTGGGAGGTAAAACGACACCCCAGCTCAGGTGTTGTTTTGTAAAATCCCTGTTGCTACTTCAGAATATCTGACTTTCCAGTGTTTCATTTTTGGTTAAATTTCAGATAGCATATTTTTACATAACAGTATTGTCTCAATACATAAAGTGAAATTACTATTTTCTTCTGCCCTGGCAGAGTGTGATTGCTGCAGTGCATATGTGTGTCTGAAAATCTTCCACCTGCAATCACAAATCAATCTAACACAGTTGCCAAAGGCAGCAGCAATATACAGGTTCCCAAAAGCATCACAACAACATCTTAATTCTTAAGCTCTTTTTAAAGAAATGTTTTGTACTAAGGAGATACCCAACATAACCAATATTCTCCCCACGCTAATTCTCTTGTATCTGACAAAAACACGCATATATATCTATTCTCCTCATCTAAAGCATGCACTGTAAATGAAAATGTCCTGGCAACTATTGATTTACTGCTAATATCTAGAGAACCAAGTTCTTCTGTACACCATCTGCCTGAATATCACCCTACTGTTTACAATGCAAAGACCGGGTCCACAGTGACAATCAAGACAGTTGTTCCATGTTCACTGCAAGTGGATTAGTTTGAACACATTAAACCCACACACAAAATTAAACACCACCTAAGGCAGTCTCTTTAATTTAATTAAATAGGCCTAATTCTGAAGAGGGAGGGTCCATGCAAATGTTTTATGCAGTTAACTTCAAATTCTCATTTTAATTAATTCAGTTTCCTGCTTCACCCTGAAATCACAGACTTAGGTTGACAAGCTTCGGAAAAACAGCTGCTTATTTTCAAGATAGAGTTGTCAAAATGTTCACCCTACCAGTGACAATCGAAAATTTTCACTCCAACTTGGAAGCATCAGGATTTCATCTGTTATTTTAATCTTGTTAAAAACATTCCATTATATCAATTCTACCAATCTCTGCTTTTCTTCCAATTCATTATATTCCTAGGACCTGTGTATTACCTCCTCCACTGCTTCCCCAGACCATGCTAGGCTAGATACCCTGTCTTCATCCTTTTAGATGATATCAGTATTCAGAGTTGTTCCTTATCAGCAGTATCTCAGATGCCAGAAGTTCAAGCCTTGCTGTTGAACCACACGAACAGCTGCCTTCGTCAACAGGTGTCTAGGGAGAAACAACCCAAGATGTTCCAAGATGCTGCAGCAGAGACTTCAGTGCTGAGTTTGCTTGTGGCTGTAGAAATGAGTTTCCCTTAACTAAGGAACAGAGCTCAG